GGAACTATGACACATTCAGCATATTATTTTGCAAAACGAAACTTCTCTACGTCATAGAATCACCCACAACTTGAATAATGAAATATTTGACGATGATAATGATCGCCAATAGAAAAGGAAGAGATCTAGGTTTACCTCTTGGGTTTAATTTCGTACTTTTAGTCAATTTGTGTTCTACCGCTTCCAATTCTCATCCGTTTCGTTTGCCTTTAGTGAGGTTGCGAAAATGATAAACTACTAGAAATAACTAATTCAATCATTGTTACAAGCTCACTCGATATGTTGTTGAAATGTTACGATTTATGATTTGTTATTTTACGAATATCTTCAACTAGCCAACGATCCGAGTTGTGTTTCGTAGTACCCATTGATTTGAAACAAGTCATCGCTTTGATCCAAAGTAATTCTTCCAACATACTACATAAGAATTCTGTATGAGTACCGGAAAAAATTTATCAGACCTACTTCCATTTCAACTTTGGTCACCATTGGTGCTGATAATAGCAACATCGACATGAATATGATGAAAAGTATTGATAACTCAAGCAATATTAGAATATTGTTGGAGTATGGTGATTTCATGTTTACACAGCAGATGAAATTTCTAGTAAGAATGAAATTGAATTTATTGTAGCTCGATAGTATCTGATGATTTCAACAAAGATGTTCTATTGATTCTTATCGTTGCCTGCATTTCCATCAACAGTACGCTTGTCACTTTAAAAACGAAAGCGAAAGTTTTTAACAGTAGAAACTTATGTCCCTGATGATAAATCTCATTCATACTAGACCACTCTGTTTAACTATGACGAGAGTTCGTGGACAGATATTACTGCCGCCAAGCATGAACAATCACTAGACTAAGACAAGTTGCAGTCATTGATTCTTCTTAGTTTTCTCCTTGAATTTATTTAAAATAATAGAAACGCTCTCAGAATCTGATAATAGCATCCTGATTTTATTGAATTACACCATGGTTTTGAATTCAATAGCTAGCTGACATATACATCTTTCAATTTAAAAATTTACTGATATATTAAACAACACAAATTCATAGTAAATAGCGATTATATTCCTTAATCATCCATAATCATGAGAACCGTTATTTAGACGCTATTACTATAACTGCTTTACTTGGTAGTGCAAATGATCCATTCGATTGAAGATCTAAGTGAAAATCTTCACGCAAAATACGCCTTGCTTCTTCGTCAGCTTCTAAATACAGAGATGAGTCGCAAAACCATTTGGATGTTCGACAAAAACTAAGTAGAGTGCGAATATCAGGGAAAAACATTGGAAGGTCAACATTTATCCATCGCTCTATTGTAAAACCTTCTGCGACAAACATATTTCTTATTATTTCTTCTTGCCAACAGGTAAATGATGCGTTCGATTCTAGATTTGATGCATTGATTCTTTCACCGGTCGCCATGAATTGAACAACTCGTTTTATGACTGAAAGAAATGGAACTTCGTTTGGATGAGACCAATGAGAACTGATGAGTAGCCCATTCGGTTTCAATTGTTGAAAGAAGCCTCGTAACATTTGACCTTGATCTGATGCATATGGAAGTACCAGAGAGAGTGTAATGATGTCGTAAACGTTTGTATTCAATATGTTATCAGTTATGGAAAAGTTTACAGTCAAATGTTGACTTTTTAATTTACGTAAACGTTCCTCTGCTAAAGACAGCATCCGCCGAGAAGAATCAGTTGCTTGTAACTTAACGTTATAGAGATGATTTGCCGAAAGCTGTTGAAAAATAGTCAGTATCGGCTCACCAGGACCTAAGGACAAAATGGTCGAAGAAGTATATAAGGCACTCTTTACTGATTAAAAAACATAAAACACGAATATCGTATGTACCTGTTCCATAATCCAATAGTTGGTATTCACCTCCTCTATCGTTCGACTGAATTTTCTTGACAACATAATGTGCCATGGTATCATAGAGTGGTTGGAAACGTGGTAATAATACATCTTGATATGATTGGGCTAATTGAGACCACTCATTGTATAGATCATCATCAGAATCGATAATCGCCATCTTAATATCCGCAATAAATATTGAAAAATCATTAACATAAATGGATATTTGTCACAAAAAATATCACTCAGTTTCTCTCACGACACCTCATCATATTAGATAAAACGTGTGTATAAAAGCAGTTGAAAAAAGATACGGTGATAAATAAGAGTAGTGACGCAAAAGAACAAAAAGAAATATTGTTTCTATCGTTTGCTTCGACACACTGGTTGGATGTGAATAAAAACAATAAAATTTATTGATATGAATCATGCTCAACTGAAATGCTCTATTTGATTGACTGCTATACAGTCTTTTTGGGTTCGAATTTATGTGAAAGTTTTGATATTTTTTAATCTGTTCTATCTTTTGTATGCTACGAAAGATATTTCTTAGGAACAAAGGCTATATTTATATAGAGGCCGCGGCATACTAGAATTAACTATTAACAAATAGAAGGAATGCCTGATTTTCTGCATACATGACATTTGTCTTATCTTATGTTTTTGTTATATTACTGGGACGTATTTCTTATGGCTTTTTATTTGAAAATGTGCTTATACATAGTAGCTATCGTTTGTCAAAAGTGATTTTATTAATTTCTCCTATTTGCTTATTTATCACAGAAATCGAGATTGGTTTACAAGCTGCATGTGCATAAGTGGTGATCTTGAGCATGACGACTATCGAGTGAGATAGCCAGAAAATAAGTATACTTAGTCAGAGATGCTGGGAGAGCTTATAAACGAGAATCCTTTGTCCAAGGAGCCTGTACATCATATTCAGAATACAAAGAATTGTGAAGAAGTTAACAAAAAAGAAGATATTGGTATCAACATAGAAGATGATAACATTGAATAAACTTCATTAAACAAAAATATCCGGAACAGAACTTCCGAGTTTGATGATTATAATGCTTCATTGATATTAAAGATATTATTTTTCTGTATAAACTTGTTGTCATCCATCCGAAATATATGATGATCTATTAGGCACATGATATTATTATATATACCTCATGATGTCCTCTAGCAAGCATCAAAGTATGATGGTTAAATAATAAAAATTCGTTTCAGGACAAACAATTTAACCAACCACTCCTCAACCTGAACTTAAGACCCAACGCACTATAGCTCTATAGGCGAAAAGAGCCGACAACTGAATTCGAAGTATCGGTTGTTTCCACTCAAAATGTTGATTAACATTGTTCTAGAGCTCATCATTTGATGTTCTGCTCTATGTGACCTATATAAAATTAATTGTTTTAAATAATTATTGTAAGTCCACGTTCATCTACAATGTCTTTAGCCTATGACTGAAAAACTTTCTTTAACAAATCCAATGGAAAGTTAATCATATGGATAGAAAATTCAAATCGATCTGTTTTATTTAGAAAAAGCCCGCTCTCAAAATATTAAAGTTGACATT